TGATTTGATATTCACAGTTCAATGCCTCATTTGCCATACTATTTCTAATTCAGTTACAATAAGTGATACATTTAAGTAACTTTTCCAGTACAGGTAGCCCCCAATTTAAGAAGGAGTTCCATTCCCAAAGTCTGTCCTTAAGTCAGATTTGTATGTAAAACGGAACAGTATTATTGCATAATACTGTATAAGTAGTATTGTGCAATTAACTCAAACCATTGTGTATTTAACTCAAATCATAGTTCCATTCCCAAAGTCTGTCCTTAAGTCAGATTTGTATGTAAAACGGAACAGTATTATTGCATAATACTGTATAAGTAGTATTGTGCAATTAACTCAAACCATTGTGTATTTAACTCAAATCATTGTGTATTTAACTCGAATTTTGCTACAATAGGCTCTGTTCCTAACTATGGGTTATCCTTAAACCAGGCATTCTTAACCAGGGACTACGTGTATATCAGATTTAAAATAATTAAAAATATCAATAGTTCTATGACATTTATTCTTGTATTAGTACAAACTGTAATATAGTTCCTGACATAGTAGCTGTATAAGGAAAACAGAGAACAAAAGATCTTAATAGTCACGAAGTTCTTTAGGCTATAAACTATAATGTTTAGAACCTGCTCTATTCCAACTTCTGCTACCAATGAAAAGAATTAGTATTTCATCTAAATAACTAGATGAAAATCTAAAAGAGGGAGGTATATTTAACTCAGAAAAAAAGAGAAATTATTATTATTTTTAAATAAATTCAAGGAGGCACACAATACAATAGATTTATAGCTTGATCAAACAGGTTGAAAATTAGATAAACAGTTAGCCACCCAACTGGTGTGTATTATTTTCTTCCTATAAAGAGTGTAGATTGAACTCTTGCTGCCAATGTGAGGTTGACATGTTTGTTTTCATATCAACCTTAGCATCATTGTCTTTCCCATTTTGACACACACACCCCTCCCCCACTCCTGTGGACACCTCTGCTTGCTAACTCAGAGGTTTTCCATACCAATTGCCTGGGGCTTCAAGTACTCTCCTCATAACCTTGGAACTTCAGCTATCAGGAGCTTCTAGTGAAGCATCTGGCTAAACACACATACAAGACTATCTTTCAGGTATGACAGCTTGAAAGGAAAGGGTAATCGGCATAGGGGCCTGCCTTTCAGCATGGCTGAGACTCAGGAAGGGTGCGGCTGCTGAATAAGCTCTTACATTGAGCCAGATCTATGTTTGAAGCAACAGTTTTCTTTAAGCTAAAATCTGACATTTATGGTGACCAATCACAGCCACAAGTCTCTCCAGAACTGGGGGAATAGACAAATAAATATAAAAGACTGACTAACTGATCTGGTGATTTCTCTTCTGCTAGGAACTTTAAGGAAATGCATTTTAAATATTGGGCATTGGCTCAATCTTAGGCAGCTGACTAAACTAGATGTGTTCCAGGCAGCAGTTTATAAAATGTGTGAAATCTATAAACGCACTTCTCTGAACAACCAAAACCAGCTCATGTTAGGTAGCCGCCTAATATACACACAGCTGCTCTGGGTTGCTTCTGAGATCCTTAAATGCACTTTTATCTCAATTAGCAGCGTAATCTGTTGATTTGCCTCTTGTTTCTCACTGCCCAAAGGCCTTAGAATAGGTTTACAGATTTTCACAGCAACTTCCCTTCACAATGATTGGGATAATCAAATTCATTTGTTCTACAGAAAAATGACATTGCAAAAACTCCCTATTTTGCTACTTTCTGCAAATAACCCTTTTCAGCTTAATATATCAGTAATTAAGATTTCTTAGGAAACATTTCTGTCACTTGCTCTTTTTTGCTCGCAATTATTCTAAACATGGAAGATGTAGAATCTTCCATTATTGCAAGCTACACCTCCTTCATAATTTTAAAGTAGATATTTTAGTCATTTCCTGACCAGCTTAAAATATTTTCCTGACTTCTTTGCATACCATTCCTGTGATCATGCCTCACTTTCTTTGACTGTTTTTCAGTAGCATACAAGTTCTGCAACTGACCAATTAAATGATTATGTAGGTCAGTATAATTTGTTGATCATGGCTTTTACCTTTATTTATAAGCCGCCTAGAGTCACTTGCATAGTGAGATGGGTGGCATATAAATTTGATAAATAAATAAATAGCACACAGACCTAAAATAGGAGAGGAGTTCATCTAGTTAAATGATTCTTTGGCGCAGTTGTCAGCCCATTTAACCTTACCTATTGACTCTTTGTCCAACTGGGACATATATTCTACCACCTCTGTGGAATTCTTTGGGTCAGAACGTTTTCAGGATCAAAGGAAAATGATCAGAATGTAAAATAAATTGGTTTATCATCTTTTAGTAGCCATTCAGCACACAGAGGTCTAGGTTAATGGCTGTCTGGTGTACACTTATAGCAGCCAGTCTACATTTCTTGGAAGAAGATACTCCACTTCCTCCTCCTTGATATAATGACCCTTAAATTTCTAATGCCCAGTAAATACTCCCATCTGTCTTTATTAACAGTATTCATAGAGCCCATCCAATCTTTTTTTTTTTTGCAGCAACTCAATCAATAGCAGAACACAGGGAGAGGATTTGTTTTTCCTTCTGTTCCTCCTCTGCCGGAGCAGCAGCATGTCAGGATGCCAATGGGAGATATCATTCTCAGCTCTAAGCTAATGCATTGTTCCCAGTTCCCTAGGATTCCTAATTTGGTAGTCTGAGGCAATAATGGAGGAAGGAGGGAAGCAAGACCCCCTCCTTTCTGCACATCCATGCTGCTTTAACAGTATAGGAAAGTAGGTGAGAGAATGTCTGGCAGGGATAGCTTTGTGGGTTGCTCAGAGCTGATAGGAAAATGAGAAATCTTCTCCACCTCAGTCTTTTTATTTCAGCCAGTGAAGAATTTTGGTAATTTAAGAGCTCACCTTTCACTTACGCTGCCGCTTTTATGAGTTCCTACATATCTTATCCAAGCCTGTACTGGAAGAAATTTGCTGGCCCTCTAGGCTTACATATCCTTAAGGTTCATATCTATAATAATTTTGTTTTCAAGTAAGACAAGTTTTATGTCCGTAAGTAAAAGGAATCCATTTTAGAATGTCAGGTTTCTCAGCATCAGCATGAAATTAGATAATCTACAACTGAATGAATACAGAGATAGGGAATCTGTAATTTTCCAGATTTTGCTGAACTTCAGCAAGGCCCAACTAGCTTGTAAATACAGACATCTAGAGGGTTAGGGGTTCTCTGTCTCCTCAACATTTGTTTATTGAATTAACTAGAAATCAAATTGTGAAGACAGAAAAATGCCAAGACCACAACTCTCAAAGAATAGGATTTCTTTTCTGTATTAACTATATGATATCGTCTGTTAACAAAGTGATTAAAAACCACTTAAGCAATATATAATCCATTGTCCTCAGTGGTGAAGAAAAAAGAGATGCTGAGGTATTTAGGAGTCCCTCAGACTATTAAAATAAACTGGTGATAATAGCAATTCAGCTGTAAATGCCAGTGCTTTAGACCTAAAAAAAAATAAGTGCAACGATTAAAGTCCATATTGCCATTTCTTCTACTACTCTGCGGAAAAAAAAAAAGACAGAATAAAAGACAAAACAGTAGACTATAAATTAAGGTACCTTCTCTCCATAGCCTCTATCTTTGGTCATCATTTCCCTGAGTGTCTGTAATACTTTAATACAAAGTTTCTCCTCATTCTCTTCCAGCAGCTGTTTAGTATGTTTTATTAACCTGAAAACAACCAATTGATCACAGTTTGTTTCAGTACTAGAATATCTAATCAGTTAGGAAGGCATTTGTAGGTATTTGCATTAAAGGTCATAGAAACAACCAACTGTCCAAAAGACAACCATGTTGTCATTTTTTTTTTTCTCAAAGCTGCAGTGTTTCCAGATACGTATGTAAAGCAATAAAGAAAGCTTGCTCCATACCACTTCTACATAGAAAGTTTTGAAGTGCAGTACAATCTGCGCTGAGAAAGTAAAGTTGCACAAACATGGAATAAAGGAACTAAAATTATGTAGCTGTTAAGGAATAACAGTATTTGTAACTTATTTCATAAAACACAAGTTCCTGCTCATGGCTTAAGAACTAGGTGATTCCAGGACAGTCTATCAGAAACAAAAAAGTACAACACATTTTTATGTTCTACAAATATTTCTGAATGGAGCATTAACTCATTCATAATGAAATATTCTAAAATTAGGAATAAAGATTTTTTTCAAAATGAGCTATTTACTACATTCAGTAGCAAAAACCAGGATCCTCACACTTAAACTAAGGCTAGATTTTACCAGAGATTTGTGGTTACCAACAGAAGCAATTGTTCCTATGTTTTCTTCCCTTCACCACATCCCATGCAGTCTAGCAAATATAAATAGCATCCTGCATCTTTACATCAGGCAGATGAACTGAGGATGAGAAAACTAATATACCACAGTATTATGTCACACAAATTTTCTTACAGGACTGAGAGACTCCCACCTATCCATCTATCCTTAGACTCATTTTTCACTATTCTACACAATGTTGTCATTTTCTGAATAAATAAGATGGACTCTAAGGTCTGATTCACATAACATGCTAAGCCAAAATGTAGTTTGTATATGACTGGTTTAGCATATTGTGTCAATGTTGCTGTTGTGGTTTAAACAAATGATGACTAATGCAATAGATGAGTCCAATCATTAAGTACTGTGTTATGGCACATGAACTGTAGTACAATTTTATTAAAATTATTTCCTGCATTCAGAAGCTATTATTATCAGATCCATGTGGAAAGCTGCTAGGATCTTGCAAAAAAAAAAAAAAGATAAATTGATAGCAAAATAAGATCAATAACCTAAAGTAACAGCCAAGAAGACAAAAAGAAACAAGAATTATTTTAAAATAATAAAGAAAATGCTGGTCCTCAACTTACTTGCAAATAAAACCTCCACTTTCACATTTCCTTCTTGCATCTGTATTTTCTGGGAAAAGCAGTTCTGGTCTATGAAGGACATCCACCAATACAGACAATTCAGCTTGGACAAGTGGACGTAAGCGATCTTCCAAAGCTGATACTATATCCTGAAGTAGTGGTATATTTAGTTTAAAACTTACATACAAATCATATAGACAAGCACCTTTTTTAAAGAAATACTTGTGATAATAAGACTATGCTTTCTGCTTGTTCTACCCAAGATTAATACAGAAATACTAACGTATGATGCAAATCTGCAGAAGCAGATTTCATAGGATCCACATTTATCTTGTCAATGTTAATAAAAAGTTTTTTTTTTAAGTTACAAACATTAAGTACTTACAACACAATACTGCTGACATTTTATTTAGAATGCTTCTATTTGGTTACTAAAAACTGCCAACATTGGTTATAAAAAGCAAAAGTAGGTATTTTCTAATAATATTATTACTACTATTAATATTTGTTATTACATACCAGAGGTAAAAACATTATGTTGCCAAAATAAGATGGTCAATGGAAAAGAGAAAATAAGGGGGAAAACCAGCTGAAAGAGGACTGAAGTGGATATAGGAATTGAAGGGACATAAATGCAATGAAACATCCTGGAAGAGAACATGGCTCACTGGAGCCCTAAATAGGAGCTTCCCCAATTAAATGTTTTGTGTTTGTAACTAGTGAAATCCCCACAATTCGATCACCCCCATTTGATAGGCTGTTCTGCACTGTGCTAATGAGCAGGACATCAGCATCTGAGCATCCAGCTTCCATGGAAAGGTATCTATTCAGTTCAGATGCTTAGGAACTATGAATTACTATTATAAAATTGAAAGAGGCATGAATGTGATCTTCGTGTGTAAAAAATGAGTATAAAGTAAAATGTCCATTACAGAAGTAAGGTTTTAAGTAATCCTTAACTAAACACTTAGTGCCATGTAATGATCTGTGAGAATGTCCTTGAGAGATGAGAGGAGGAGGAGGAGGAGGAGGAGGAGGAGGAGGAGGAGGAGG